ACAATTAACTACTGAATACCAAGAGTAATTAGGTTTAGATGAATCTCATAAGAAAGCATTGTTGGGGACACGATGGAGGACTTATCGTGGACTGCGTCAGCCTGAACGTCGTATTAGAGCCAAACGGCTGCCGTACAACAAAAATTGGCCTTCGTCTTCTGGTAAGATCAACCAACGAATCTTTTCATCATGCCCATTCTCTTGGAATGAAAGTCTTCCCAAAAATTGGAGCTTATAAAGTAAAATAAAACCAGCATTTCTCACCATTAATTGTCAAGGTTGTCATGTTACTCATATGAAATTATGTTATATCATGTATTTCAACAGTTATTAAATTAAAAATTATAAACATTTCATTCTATCGAAATGCAGATATTCGCACCGGTCAGCCCCTGCAAGATGTTTACTATACCTGGGATCTGCGTCGCTTTGATGACGAACCACTCGAAACTGGTCAGCTGGCTGAGATTGTGGATATTTCAGCTGCTGACGGTGGAAAATTGATGCTATCTGGGTCGCGTTCCACTGCAGAAAATGTGAAAGGGCGCTGTCTCGCCTCCCGCGAGCTCTCCCCCAAACCACCTGCTGGCAAAGATTCGGACACCGCTGAGAAACCTGAGGCTGAGAAAGGCGTACATCTACAGGGACAAGGTCGTGTCATCTATGCATCGTCTCCCTTCTTCCGTTTCGACATTCGTGGTGAAGCTGAGGGCAGAGTAACAGAGGAATTTACTGAAGAATTGCCAGGTACTTGGCCCTCGGCGCCAGACAGTATCCTAAAGGTGCTGTTCAGGGAGCCTTGCCCCTTTTCCAAGTAACTCCAGTTTTTTTCAGTAGGATGGACTTTGGAAAATGAGGCTGCCTGATTTTCCTATGTGCAGTCAGCAATTGAACTAAATGATGATAAAACAAAAGTCATGAATCAAAATTCAATAGGAGATTCAGCCACGAAACGAAACAACACCTTAAAAACCCTCACAACTGACAAACCATCCGGTCTTAAGCATCATAGCTATCAATTTTAGGTGCAAAACGATGTATAATTTAGTTTATATATTTTAAAATCTCCGAGTTTTATTAGGAATTCCTTTTTTTTCATTTACGACTTCATCTAGCCAATTGCTTTAGATTCGATCCCAAATTTATTATTATTATTCTTTCATGCTATACTAGTTTAGAATGTAAGTAGTATATTGTTTGAATCTACTTTTAATTTACAGATTTGACCAAAATATCTGTTCACGTCGAAGGTCTTAATCAGGATGGGACGCTGACTAGACGGTCTGGCGAAAACGTTGTGTTGAAATGCAGAGCTCGTTGTAAGTGATAAATTTTATTTTACTTACTGTCAACCCAATCGTTTAAGCTAAACCCATGCTAATTGATAAAACTTAAAGTTGTTGGTTAACGTCACGCAATAGCTTGGCTCAATTAGACCTAACATTCTTACTTCTCTAGTAAAAACATTGTGATGATCTTTCAATGATTTATAAGAAGTTCGCAATAACTATTGTCTCCTTGACTGGTCTTATACAGTACATGGTTTCTGCATGAGAAGGGAAACTACTCTTTTTTCCGCCTGTAAATTAAGATATATGAAGGGAACAATTTTATGGTCCACGACCATTATTACTGTTTATATAGTTCGAAAGTATATTAATTAAAGAATACACATGTGTATATAATAATGGATCGACTTTGCCAAGGAAAGATTTGTAACTATTACGAGGTACCATTTGAGGTTGTGGTGACTTTAAATAGGACTTTTTTAAAATTCTATAATGTAGGAACATTCCCCTTTCTGCTTAAATTCAACACAGCGGGCTTAGGCCCAAGTAAACGGGTGCAATTGTAAACCCTACATTTTAGGCTAAAATGGGTAATAGGCTGTAGCTTTGAAAATAGGTACAAAAGTTTGGATACAAAGATTTTTTGAGAATTTAGATCCTAGGAATTTGGCTTCTCTTCACATTATGGTTTTGGCAGGTAGAGCTTAAGATGCATGACACAGAGTTGTTCATTCAGGCCACAAGGTTTCGTAACCTTTAGCCTAAAAGGACCTCCGAAAGCTGCTTCACTTTTACCTCTATTTGATAAAGAGGTTATTTCTAAAAAAAAGTTCACACTCTCTTTATCGTTTTATGATTTGTGTAATCGGGAAATAGGAGATCTAGTTTTATCGTCTATAAACAGGGAATTCATTATTTGAAACATAACTTGAGCCACAAATGCCGACCAAGTTTTATTTTTAAATACTATTTCTCACATGCATTATTCGTCCACCTCTTTTACAACAAATGCCGTCTTTATACCATCTAAACTCTGACATTCTCATAAAAACACAAATTATGACAAATGTATAGTCGAGAATGGTCAGGAGGTTGGAAAAGGGCTTCAGTATGAATGGCGCCTGTCTACAGGACCTGATAATCGCCCTCTGCCTCTAAACGAGATGGCGGCTCAGGTGTACTTGCAAAATGCAGAGCTCCACCTTTCCAAACTTTCTCCAACTTATGAGGCTAAAAGTCGTGGAGGCTTGCGGGGAGTCTGTGCGGCTCGACTCTCTGAACCGGCGGTCACTCGAGCTGTGGAGCTGGCACAAACGGGCTCTCAGCTACCTGCTGTTGTCGGCTCTGCAGGAGCCAAGTCAACCGGTGCCTCCAGGACGGAAGCTGGAGTTGAGCAGACAACGGCGCCCACTCAAAAGGAATGGCAGCGAGCTAGGCAGGTGGTCTCGGATGCCTTTGCGATACATGTTAAGAGACGCCTGGAGCCTGGAGCTCCGGATCCTGAAGATGAGCAGATAGGCGAAGGCGATCCGAAAGGACCCTACATCTGGACACCTGGATCAGGTCAGTTCTATCCCTTTCTATTTATTTCTTACCATCTATCGGCGATCCGAGACTATTACCTATATTCATGGGGACTAGATTTTAAGACTTAAGTAAATCATCAATAAGAATTCCAGTCACCATAGCTCGCATAAAGTGATAAAGAGCTGAAGCAAACTTGTATTTTAAATATAAGTTTATATATATTAATACAATATAGTATTATATAATAATAGTACTGCCGTACCTACATCTATAATTAATTAATAATGAGTAATAAATCATATTATATTACTATAATAATATATTATAATTATTATTGTTAGTTGATTAGATCCTATAGTATATATAATTGGATATAATAAGGCAAACTTGTGTTTTTTATATAAGTAATTTTCGAATCTATCATTAAGGGATTTAAGACTGATGATTGATTTGTTCCACAATATGACGCGTAAACATCACAATGCCAGTGAATTTTACTTAGCCTTAACATCTCATTCAGGTTAGACCGCAGTTTCGAACATAAGTAAAATTTAATGGAACAGCTCCTGAATTCACTGGTAGTCTCGAAACCTTACTATCATACGAATATAAGTAATGTAATCGATTGTTATAGCAAATATACATTTGCTTCATCGACAATCCCACCAAAGAATGTGATATGATATAAGACCTGGCCTTCCTTGAAATTCACATCTGCCCTGTGACCCAAGGGCACTCGTGGCAATGTGGTCGAGTGGTTAACATGTCAAGCTCCTATTCTGCTCTGCCACGGTTCGACTCCCGCTGGGGGTGTTGATAAGACCGATGCGAGGTCAAAACTGCAGTACACCCTGAATAAAAACAACTTTTGGGAAAGCAAGGCTATATGAAATTCAATGGAAAACGTTAGCTCAACTCATATAATTGTGGAAAATTTCTACTACCAGTCCTTCATCACCTTAGATGAACTAGGGTGAATACATCTAATTACACTAATTTACTGGTAGTCTCGAAGCCCTACTCTCATACAATTATAAGTAACGTTGTTGATTGCTATAGCAAATATACATTTGCTTCATCGACAATCCCACCAAAGAATATGATATGGTAAAAGGCCTCGCCTTCCTTGAAATTCACATTTGCCCTGTGACCCAAAAGGCGCTCCTGGCAGTTAAGCCGAGTGGATAGCGTTTCAAGCTACCGTCTTGCACTGTCGCGGTTCAACTCCCGCTGAGGGTGTTGATAAGACCAATGCGAGGTCGAAAGTGCAGTCCAGCCTGGATGAGAACAACTTTTGGGAAAGCAAGGCTATGTGAAATTCAATGGAAAACGTCAGGTCAACTCATATCATTGTGGGAAAATTCTACTACCAGTACTTCATCACCTTAGACGAAATAGGGTGAATACATCTCATTAATTGTGTTTATTCAATGATCATTGATTTTATGGAAACTACTTATATCGAAAATAAGTAGCGTCGTCATTTTTTAGCCGAAAATCTCACAACAAATGCGGTTAGGGAGGATTATGGCTTATCTTAGTTGTCACAGCTGCCATTTCACCTACTGGTACGTGTGCCAGTAGTTAAATCCGATATAATCGCGAGGTATAACTATTTATTTGTGGAAAAACGCAACTATAAAGATCGAATAGGTTACTTATATTCATAGAATGTAGGTTACGAGACTATCATCCGAGCTTTAATAAGGATTTTAGTCAATCTAAGTCCTATATGAGGATTTCAAATATGCAGGGTCATGTAAACTTAACTAGAAGCCAAAATTACCTGTCCTGGCTTAGCCTTCTGAACTATGGAAAATAAAATACGATGTTATATGACTTGCTCCTGTGGAATGCTATTGGGAACT